GGGTACGGTCTGGGTGCGTCGTGGGTACAAGCTAGGTATGTTTTGGGTACAAGGTCGTGATTTTTTTTTTTTGCGGCTGCAAAATTTGTTGCAGCCTTTATTATTCTTCTTTCAACTTTGAACATCATCAGGTAATTTGTTTTCAACACCCTTTACCCATGAGTCATGGCTATGCTCTCTTTTGCATCTTGTTTTAGACAATCAAAAAAAAAAAAAAAAAGAAAGAATTATATAACTTTTTAGGCAAGCTGTTCTCCTTTTAATTTTGATATTGAAATTTTGATTTGTATGTTGGATGTTTATCTATAAATTAAAAATAAAATAAAATTGATGTATCCCAACCGTATCTGTATCCTACTTTTTTAAGAATTTGACGTATCGACATACCCTTATCATACTCGTACCCGTATCTCGTATCCATACCCGCACCCGTGCTTCCTAGTTGAAGATCATCGCTTTTAGTTTCTCAAAATCTTCTTACAATATGTAATCTCTCACGGTTTCTCTTCTCTCCATCTTGTTGCGTCGTGAATACCAAACAACTGTAGGCCAAGCTGCTGCTGCTACAAGATGGAGGTAGTGGCATGCTGTGATAAGATGGAGGTGGAGACGGTGTTCACTCTTTTTTACTGATCTGCCTTACCCTCATCCCATCTATCACTCTTCAATCTCCCTCTAATCTCCACTATCCAATCTTTGCACTCTCATCTCACCCCCTTTCCCTCTTCGGTCTTCCTTGCCTTTACAATCGATTTTTTTCTTAGGGTTGTGGTTGATTGCAAGAAAAAAATAGACAAAAATGAACCAGCCAATAGACCTACCCAAAAACGATTGCAATCTGAATGACACATTTAGTCCAATTTTTTTCCTAGTGTTCGGTCGAAGGCGGATGCTTGTGCTTTCCACCTAAAAGGACCAGTTCATGTGATGAGCCAATGGCAAACCCGAACCAATCCAACCCCTAAACACACCTACTCTTATCTTAACCCAACAGTTACTCAAGAGCCAAAATGGTTGGGATTTCCTAGACCCACTACCTTTTGCCTAGGCAATGTGGCACATCCTATAGCTAGGGGACTTACCCAATGCAGCCAACCAAACTGACTTGACCCGACCCGACCCGCCATGGATGGTTTTGTGAGGTTGCACAGTTGGTAGTGGGTTGGAAAGTGTTTTTTTATATTTTCGGTTGGCTCTTGGAATGTGGAAAAAAAACAACGATTCCGTCCGATTTATGTGTATGTATATAGGATATTCATTACACGTGCCATTGTGTCCTTGGAAATTGAGATTACACTCTTTATCTTTTTACTTCTCAATCTGACATCCATCTTATCTTCTTAATTTTTAAATACTACTTCATTCTCTTTCTTCTTAAATGACTTTATTGTTTCTCTTTATTCTCAATCGACTCATATTTACAAACTTTCTCTTTTTCTTCTTAAATGGTATTATTTAATTCTCACTTTCTTTTCAAATGACTTGTAGTATTTGAAATCTCTCTCTCTCTCTCTCTCTCTCTCTCAACGATGCAATCAAAGGAAGAACCCAAATGTTGTACTTGTAGAAACTAAGGTATTGGAGCATATTGACATGGTGTTTTTTGAATTATTTTTAAACCCTCCCTTTGAAATCCCCTACACTCAGATCTCCATCACTGCTCTCCCTCTCTAATTTGTGATTTTTATGTACTCATCAAATGGTTGAGGTTGATTTGGGTTAGATCAAACAGTGCTACTGCTCATCTCTTTTTGTTTTTCTTAGATCTACATATGTGCAGAGAGAGTACGGGGTTCTTGAAGCCGACCGAAATCGACATTTAAACTAGAGGAAGAAAATCGGTTGATTTTGAAAGGAGATTCCGTCAAAATTGGATGGTCAGTTTGGGAATCCGAAATGGTCGGTGTATACACAAATTTCTTTTTTGGAAAAATAATGACAGAAAAATAGAGTAACAAATATAAATTTATTGATTTAAAATAAAACGAGTACAATCTCTGATGAAATTTCTAATCAAAGAAAATCCTCTGATTCTTCTCTTCAATAAGTTGATTCGAGGGCTTGATAGCTTTTTCCTGAATTGAGCAGCGAAATCTCCTCCAAGTAACATAAAGAGACGGCAAATTTGTAGAACTTTGATTTGAGGTCTTGATAGCTTTTTCCCAAATCAGATTTGTAGATCACCTCTATTTATAGGAATGGATGGAGGAGTCTTAATAGACTTGAACTTCTTCAATATTTATCTCTGATTTATTTAGAGATAAATACCAAAATATCACTTTAATGGTGTGCCATAATTTTATTGGCTTGACCACCCCAATGTGACAAGTGGCTTAATTTGATTAGTGAAGAATATGACTTAATTGGACTAGTCAAAGACTTACTGCATCATTTTAACACATGACAATATTTAATTTGACCACCATGTAGTCTTGATTTGAGACCAATTAAGACACGTGGCAAGATTTGATTTGCCAATAATTGCGCCATATTTTGTAGGCCTTTGTAGTGCGTGGCAATTTGTAATTGGCTGAAATTTCGCAGGCTGAAATTTCTCAGGCTTACAATTGGTTCAGGGGACGGGTTATGGACAAACCCGGGTTGACTCGACCTGTGAACACCCTTACCCATAGCACTTTCTTGTACTTTTGTCTATTCATATTTGAACTAGATGACAATTGTTATGCACTAACAATGCACGCCTTTTTGCCAAGCAAACCCATGTATTGACCACATGTGACCCTCCATTGTCCTCCTCGTTCGGTCAATGCGACCACCTCCAATCATTGTATGGTACACAGACCTTTGACTATCATGCACTTGAGGACCCCAATTCCATCCAAAGAGGCGTCTCAAAAGCCAAGGATTTACCTCCCACTATTACAATCGTCAGAAATTGTCTTGTGTAATCTTCGACAAGAAGCCTAGCCCAATGATATTGACATCTTTGCTTGTGTCTTTGTCAACCCTTAGAGCACTTCCACAAACACCTTAACAACCTCCTCATTCTATAGGTGTAGTGATAGCCTAGCAAGCATACCCAAATGGCCTTTGGACCACCATTTCCATGACAACACTCTCCCACTAGAGACCACCAGGCCCCAGTTAGAAGAACTCAACTTTTTTTATTCAAAACCCCTTTTCACCTCCTTTTTTGATGGCAACAAAATAGATAAAAAAGATCTTTAACATCAAACCCAACTCTCGTCGAGACCTTCCAAGGGTGATTAGCATATTCGTTGTAGAGGGGTTGCCTTTATACTAGTCCACTACCCTCCTCATCAAACCTCTTTCCAAGAAATGTACGGTTTTCTTGGCATCAATAGAATTCTCTACTCTCTTTTCCCCTTGTAACCTTAGTTTGGAAGGGCTTTGATTTGGTGGCCAATACACCATTTCAGGCACCTGCATAAAGGATCAACCTCTTTCACCTTAGCTGGTTCCTTTTGGACCTTGAGTTTCAACAACTTCTTAGCCGCATCCCTCAAAGAGGACGCCCTTTATTCTTTGGCAAGAAGAGACCACCATTTCCTACCTTTACCAACCAAAATGCAAAGGAACCTCCCCCTCTAGTATGAAGGAACTAACATCCATACGATTACCTTGTCACAAAATCCTTCTGTAAAATCCTTCTCACCTTCGCTACCCATTAGTTGGTTAAGGACTTCACACAGCCAATCTAACTTCTCATGCTTCAGTCTGACCTAGTGATTCAAGTTTCACCTTCTCTCTCTGAGCATCAGGAAGTCACCATCTCCAGACAATCTTAGACCATCCCAACTAAAGAGCTACGTTACACGGACTCTTTGTGTTTTGAGAGGTACCCATGTCGACACGACACAACACAACATGACACTACACGAGTACGGTTGGGGAATATAGCTAAATACGAACGGATACTGTTGGTTTTCTTTTCTATTTTTCACGGCACCAACAAAGGAGGAGGACAGAAACATGGCTTGCGACCTCATTGTCGTCGTCGTTCGCCATCTCCGTCTTTTGTATTCATCTTCGTTGATGGTTGCTAGGGTTATATTAAAGGGTTTGGTGCATTTGGGCTTATTTAGGATACACTTCAGTCTGTTAATAAAATGGGCCTTATTATTGGGTTGGCTGGCTTTTACATGAGCTTCTCATGTTTGGGCCTAATACTAATTAAGTTGGGATTTAACTTACATCCATGGAAAATCAATTATTCATTTTTTTTAAAAATAATGTTATATATATTTTTTATTCAATATTTTTTAACTACAAATGTGTAGCATCATCATAAAAATATGTAATCATTCTGAGCCATAAATTAGTGTAACTTTATCAAAAAAATACATAATATTTTTTTTAGCACATCCATGTTTGGCCGTATCCACGTACCGGTGTCTAATTTTTGGGTATTGTTTAGACGTACCCGCGTATCCCACATTTAGAGGTTTGCTGAGTCCAACCCCTAGATACATATCTACACTCGACACTCGTACCCGAGTCCATGTAACGTAGCTAAAGAGTGACTCTCCTTGCTGAAACCTTCATCGCTTCTCTCAATTTAGTGCATTTCTTTTATCTAATAAAGATCAACAATATAGAAATTGATTATGTCTAATCTTGTATAAAGAGCATCATCTAGCACCTTTAACTGTCCTTATTATCTCCGAGTTAGCCCACTTACATCTATTAAAAATTTTGTCATTTTTTGGCCACTTTTTAAAGTTGTTTTTCGAAAAAGGAAAAATGGTGCATATGGCATGTGCTCAAAATTTCAGTCACAAGGATTCAAAAACACCACAAAGCCTCGTAACCTAGGCCACTTCTGTTCATAGCCACAAAGCCTCATAACCAATCACCCCAGGTTTGACCACCACAAAACCTCACAAGTAATTACATGATTCATAGTCAAGACCAAATGGCTTCATAACTGCAAGACCATAGAATTAGCATTTTTTATTACAGATTCAGTTTTCAACTATGTCCTTTATTTGTTTAAACTATTTACCTTGTTTGGTTAGGTTTCTATTTTTGTACTACTTGGGTTGTCGTTGCAGGAGCTGCTGCCCTAGGGTATTGGATGGTGCAGAAGTTGGTTATTGCAGAAGATGGAAGTGTGGATGTTGGCATAGCTCAATTTGTGAAATGGGCCATGCGCGTCATTGCAGCCACATTTATCTTCCAGGTGGCTATTGTGTTCATGTTAATAAATATTGTGATAATTCTCCACTTTCTTATCTCTAGACCAAATGGAAATCAGTGTGCAATTTGCTTTGCATTCTTGCAATTTCTTCCTACTCTCAGGCTTATTTTTGGACCAAACGGAAATCTGTGTGCAATTTGCCTTGCATTCCTGCAATTTCTTCCTACTCTCAGAATTGTATTATTTCTGAAATTTTTATTCTTATTTTCTGTTAGAGTACTCTTGATACTCCTTTGGCAATGGGGGCATTGGCTTCTTGTTTGTCAATCTGCTTTCTTATCACTTTCTTCAAGTGGAGTGGTCCAGAGTAAGTTACTTGCACCATTTTTTCCCTACTCTCCCCTTGCATCATGCTGGCGGACTGGTAATTATTATACCAAATAAATGTTCATATAATTGATGCTTAACTAAATTTATTCAACTTATTAAATCCAAAACAAATAGATCTTATTGGCTTTTTGAGTTTATCAGTTGGGATGTTGAAATCCATTTTGGATTAGTCAAAATGGGTGGTATGCTTGATTTAATATATGAATGGTCATGAATATTGATTGAAGAGAGATCTGTTCAGTTGATAGAACAGATTTAAAAAGCTTTCGTTTGCTTGGTTTAACAAGATCTTAACTAATTATTTGTATGTAGTTCTACCATTACTTTTGGGAATTCAATTTATTCTGCAAATGGGAATCCTTGGCGAGGTAGAGGACGAGCAAATGTAAGATAAAATCGTGCTGAATTTCTCAGCAGGTCAGGGATGGTGGCTTCACGGGGAACACTGTGGAACCGCCCAAGGAGATCTTCTGGTTGGTCTGACTCTCCTGTTAAAGGTACATACTTTTGTTAAACTATGCATTTTCTCTCCCTAATATTTGTTTTATCTTTTGAAACATTTTTTCTAAAAAGATTTAAGCTTCTGCAGAGCATTTTATTTCCCTCTTATTTTCCTTTGATATCATGGATCACTTCCATAGTTACCACATAAAACTCCCCATTAGATCTCTTATGAACATGAACATGCAAGAGCTAGGATGTTTTCTGTAAGCAACAAATTTTGAAAAATAGGCAAGGATCACTACATCGGTGCCTTAGTGCAATGAAAAATAGGAAAAAGTCCTTATGTTTTCTTGGACAAGCACCTGTAAAGAAATTAGCCCAGGATTGTTGGTTTACATTAGCAACTTAACTTGGAAAAGGGAACACTGACAGATAAAACTATGGAATTAGTAGATTCAATGATTAGAAGGAAAGTATAACATGCTTACAAGAAACTGAGTAGCTAAGAAAGTAAATGAAATAGAAAAAACTCGGTACAACATTTTGTATGCTGGAAATTTTGGTTAGTAGATAGATTTTTGCGAGTCTTGTGTGCTAGGGTGTCAGGGTGTGTGGTTCCCGATTTGTTTACCTTTTTTGATTTCCTTGATGATGTAATTGGCTAGCTCTCCTTTTTATGGGGACCTTTTTGTGTCTTTAGCATCTTCTTGATGCTCTTCTTCAATAAAATATATTTATCCAAAAAAAAAAAGAAGATGTAGAAATGGTGTAGCTAAGCATATGAAAAATAAGGTAGTAATAGTTATGAGAATAAGTTACATAATAATATTAATTAAAATTGTAACTGGAGAGTATAATTAGTGCCTATGCACCCCAAATAGGATTGGAGAAACATATTAAAAGGAAATTTTGGGATCAACTGGATGAGCTAATGCAACAAATATTTGCAGAGGAGAGAATAATTATAGGTGGAGATTTCACTGGTCATGTCCGAAAATATAAGCAAGTGCACGAGAGGATACATGGTGGATATGGTTTTGGTGATCGAAATGAGGGCGGAGAGAATATCTTAGATTTCGCAGTAGCATTTGATCATGTAGTGTTAAACACAACTTTTAAAAATGGGTCAAATAAGAGTTGGATAGATCATTTTCTTGTAAGAAAAATAAACCACTGAATATGTAAAGGTTTCAAGGTTATTTCCAAAGGAAGTAAATGGCACAAAGTAGGCAAGCAATATTCAATATATAGTATTATATACAATAATAAAGAGCAAAATCAAAGCGGGAAATATATTAAAAACTCATGAACTAGACGTGAAATCTAAAATGTGAGAAATTGAGGATAAAGTGTTTAAAGAAGTAACGCGGGGTTTGAAAGGTGTTACTAATAACATGTGGAATACAATAGCATAATGCATTGAAAGAATATCGAAAGCAGTGCCATAGAGAGTCAAAGGGAAAAGCTCCTATATCTAAATATACTTGGTGGTTGAGTAGTGAGATATAAGCCATAGTAAAAGAGGATAAAAATGGGAATAATTTTAAGACATAAGTTGATCAATAAGGAGGTTGGATGAGGAGATTAAGAAAAAGTGCGAATGATATTTTGAGAAATTGTTAAGTGAAAATCATTTTAAAAACTTGGAAGGAGAGGAATATGATAGTCTTGATGGAACTAGAGAATATAAGTTTTATCATTTAACGAAGAGAGTTTGAGGTGGAATTTGCATTAAAAAAAGATGAAATAAGGCAAGGCATTAGATTTATCAAAAAATAAAAATAAATAAATAAATAAACAAGGCAAGGCATTAGGACTAGATTGTATCCCTATTGAGGCTTGGAAATGCTTAGGTAAGTAGTTGCCTGGTTAACAAAATTCTTTAATAAGATTCTAATGACTAGGAAAATGGCTGACGAGTAGAGAGAGTACTTTAATACCTATATATAGAAATAAATGAGATATCCAAAATTGCAACAATTATAGCGACATTAAGTTGATAAGTCAATACAATAAAATTGATGGTGAGAATGATTGAGCATCGCTTGAGAGTTATAACAATAGTGTTAGAGAATCTGTTTGGATTTATGTTTGGTAGATCAAATATGGAAACACTACTTTTACTAAGAAGATTAATAGAGAAGTACAAAGAGAAGATGAAGGATCTAAATATGGTTTTATAGGTTTTCAAAAAAAAAAAAAAGACTTGTGATAGGGTGCCTAGAGATATAATCTAGGAAGCACGGATATGGATACGAGATACGGATATGGCGATACGACAAAACCTAAAATGTAGGATACGAGTACGGCTAGAATATTTGTAAAAAATATATTTGAAAAAAATTATTAGTAAGAGTTACACATAAGCCCAAGAATGTTGAGAGATCACATTGTAATTTTATAATGCAAAACACTAATCTTTAAAAATTAGGTATTAATTTTAGACAATAGCTTGTTTATTTTTTAAATTTTCAATAGGTCTTGCAAATATTTCATTTTAATATCAAGTTTAATATGTTTATATTACAATAATAGAGCAATCCACAACTTGAAAAAAAAAAAAAAGACTTGTGATAGGGTGCCTAGAGATATAATCTAGGAAGCACGGATATGGATACGAGATACGGATATGGCGATACGACAAAACCTAAAATGTAGGATACGAGTACGGCTAGAATATTTGTAAAAAATATATTTGAAAAAAATTATTAGTAAGAGTTACACATAAGCCCAAGAATGTTGAGAGATCACATTGTAATTTTATAATGCAAAACACTAATTTTTAAAAATTAGGTATTAATTTTAGACAATAGCTTGTTTATTTTTTAAATTTTCAATAGGTCTTGCAAATATTTCATTTTAATATCAAGTTTAATATGTTTATATTACAATAATAGAGCAATCCACAACTTGTTTCTGTGCTTTGTCCTTTGGCACTAGTAAAAATATTGTATTCAAGTTTACTCGCTTATTTATTTGTTAATTTATTAATTTTACTATTGTTATATTCTCTTGTTCATCTTTACTATCTATGTAGTTATAGAGGATATGCATAAAACAATTAGGACACATCAATTTGACAAATTTTATTACTTTAACTCTTACTATGTTCTTTTCAAATAACTAAATAAAGTATTGGGAGTAATGTGTGGCTTGGAATATCCGATACTTCAAAATTAAAAGTATCCGATGCTCCAAAATTAATGAAAAAATAATTAAGAAGTATCTAATACTTTTAATAAGTATCCGATACTTATTTGCGAGTATCCAAAGAGTATCGGTATCCAATACGTATACAATATGGATACGTCTCCCTTTTTGAAGTATCCGTGCTTCATGGGATATAATATGGTGAGTGTTGGTGAAAAAGGGTGTGACCAAAAGGTATATGCATGCAATAAAACGCATGTATAATGGGGTATCGACCACAATTAGATCACTTGTAGGAGAAACTAGTAAATTCTCAATCACTATTGTATTGCATCATGGGCCAACTTTGAGGCCTTACCTATTTGCCATGGTCATGGTTGAATTAACTAAACACATTTAGGATGATAGTTCGCAGATGATATTTTTCTAGATGAAACTAAGGAAGAAATTAACATTGAACTACAAATATGGAGAGAAGCACTCAAGTTAAAAGGGTTTAAAATTAGTAAAATAAAACTGAATATATAGAGTGTGACTTAGCAACAATAGAAATAGAAATGATAGAGAAGTGAAGATTGAAAATCAGAAATAACAAAGTGAACTTTTTCGTTACCTAGGTTTGATTATTAATAAGGATAGTGAGGTTGAAAATGACGTGATTCATAGAATTAAAGTAGGTTGGCTCAAGTGTGGGAGTGCATTTGACATATTATGTAATTGACAAATTCTAACAAAATTGAAAGAAGAATTTTATAGAACAACTATAAGGCTAATGATGCTTTATGGGACAAAATATTGGGTAGCTAAAATACATGTCAATAAAATGAGTGTAGTTGAGTTGAAGATGCTTAGATGGATGTGTGGTAAGATTAAGAAAGATATAATTAGAAATAACTATATTCTTGAAATGGTAGGAGTAACACCGATTGAAAGATAATAGGTTAAGATGGTTTGATCATTTACAACGAAGAAATGTAGATGCAATGGCAAGGAAGAGTGATATGATTTCTATAAATAAAATGTTGGGGGAAGGGGAGGACTTAAACTAACATGGGATATAGTCATAAAGAAAGATATGAATGTATTTAATTTATTTGAACTTGTAGCCATCGATAAAGCAAAATGGAAAAAAAATGATTGATGTAGATTGGTGTAGCCGCGCCCGCGTGGGACCTCGTGCTACAGTTCGGACTCGATTTGTGTCACGGTTCTTAATCTTGAACCAAAGAGTCGGAAGGGGAGGACTTAAACTAACATGGGATATAGTCATAAAGAAAGATATGAATGTATTTAATTTATTTGAACTTGTAGCCATCGATAGAGCAAAATGGAAAAAAATGATTTATGTAGATTGGGAAACAATGCTTAGATTGGATTGGTTTGGAAGCGGAAAACGGAAACAGAAACTTCATCCAAAAATATTATGGAAAATGTGAAACATTAGGTGATGTAAAGATTGAATAGGTTGAATAAAAAAAAGAGCAAAGTTTGAATAGGATATTTTTAAGAAAAATTTATTAAGAAACTTAAAAATAGCAATGTAAATTATTTTTATATTTTCATGATCAATTAAAATACTACTACTACTACCCAATATCTATGGAAACTTATTAGAGCAATCATATATTATTGTTGAAAAATAATATTTGCAAGTATACAAAGATGGTAAAAATTATGAGAAGTGCATTTCTAGGGAGTTTTTAAAAAATTTGTTTGAAAGAGTTTCTCGCAAGGTTATTCAAATTGAGTTGGAGTTTCTCCTTTCATATGTAAATTGTACTTGAATTCTTGGATTGTTTTGGAGATGTTTTTTAGAGGTTTTCCTTAAAATTTTATGAGAGTTCTGTGTCCGTTCCCGAAATGAGTTTACAGGGAAACAAGTTTCCTCTCTTAAGAGATTTCCTAGCCTCCCTTTATCCCTCTTTAATTTCTTTCTTTCCCCTTATATGAGGTTATTACCGTCACTAGAAATATGTGTACAAAGAAAGTAAGAAGTTGTGGAGGTTTTTTGGATGAGAGAAAGCAAAAGATTGTGGTAGCTATGTTTATTGTTTATTACAGGATGTATGGTGGTGGCAGTAGTGTCTGGTTGAGTGAGAGAGTGATGAAAGAGAGTGTTTAGTTGGGTTTCCGAGATTGTTAAATTTGTATGGTAAGAGAGAGTATTTGAGTAAACTCCACAGGGATCATATGGTTATCTATGCCTAAAATGATAAGGTATAAGTGATACTGATATTGAAATGGTCTGGTGCTGAGGCCAAACCCATCCCAACATCATTTAGGTTCAAAGCCAGTAACCTGGTGCTGACCTGCTTATGAAACTTTGTTTGGGATTCTGTAGTCAGATTTGCTTGTGATAATTTTTGGTGTTCCTTACCTTAGAAAGATGTATTCGAGTAAATTGTATAGGGATCATAAGGTTATCTATGCCTAAAATGATGAGGTATAAGTAGTGATGATAATGAAGCAGTCTGGTGGTGAGCCCACACCGTTCCCAATTTCATTTAGGTTCAAAGTGGGTAACTTGGTGTTGACTTGCTTATAAACTTTGTTCAACCTGATGCCATGTATTGCTGATGTGTTTGTTAAGCTAGCAGTTTCAGTCAGTGCTAGCTCTAATTAAGTAATTGTTGTGTTGATTTTAAGATTATGAGCTTTAATCTTGAAATGTTTATACTTTGTTCTATCTTGACTTTCAATTGAGATTATAACTGATTTAAAGAATTGAGTTGAGGATACATTATCACCTGTCTGGACTGCAACATGATGGTTAAATGTTGTAGGCATGCAATTCAATAGTCCCTTTCAATGTATGTTGCATGAATAACCACAAAATTATGTTTCTCTATCCTAATGAAGTCTGTATGATGGTTTTTATGAAGCATGGAGCATTAAATGAGATGTATGATGTGAAATTTTTAGCAAAATTGGATGTAGACACACTAGGACATGACAATATCTAACAAGAAATATTTTGATGGGGGAGAAAGTCTATGTTTTTAATATATTTATCCAAATTTGTGCATTAGTAGTTGCACAAATTGGGAATTAAAGATTAACGAATAGTAATTGTTTTTGTTTAAAAATGTTCCTACTTTCTTTATATCTTTATCTTTATAACAGTATTCTTTTTTGTATATTAGAAGTGGGGTTCATGCTTGATTTGGCAAGGTAAATGTTCGGTTTCTTTTGAAGTATTTCGTGTTCTTGACATTTATTGGCTTTTGTTGCCTGATATGGCGTCAATTTCAGAGCTCCTATGATCTACTGTTCATTCTTCGTGGTTTGGTTTTGACCATGATATTGTAATCATAATAAAAATGAAATGAACAAAGTAGGTTTTTGGTTGGGAGGATTAATCTTGTTGAGGATGTTTCATGCACACACTGTTTCCAAAAATGTCTATAAAGTACAATGGTACTCATGTAAATTATACTATATAGCATTGGTATTGACCTTTAATTCATGCTTCATTAGTTTGTTATTGGTTGTCGCAGGTACGATATCTCCAACCACTGGGAGGGTGACGAGAAATCAACACGATTACTATTCAACATTCCATAGGTCACCCAATAGAAGTTTTCAAAAAAAAAAAAGTGGGAGAATTTCACCCAGGAATCAACCCTTCATGCTGTGGCTGAGTTGGCATCCTCTCCAAAGTTCATTGATTGGATTACTAAGCATGCTGACAGTATACAACTCCTTCCAGATGATAGTTTGGATAACACAATTATAAGTGGCTCAGATTCCACAGATGAGTATCTTGTAGAAAGTGGCGATCGATTTAGTTTGTTCAAATGGTAGCTGCGACCTTAGAGTAGGAAATTAGTTACTTGTAGCAGTACAATGAGGTAGAGGCTAGGAATAGTGCTCATTTAATTTTTCTTTCTTTGTTTTAGGTTTACTTTTAATACATCATATTATGTCATTAAGCAATTGTGGCAAATCTTTTGAAATATTCTAATCATGTCATAGTGCCTGCTCTTTCTTTGCCTCTTCCTACCAAAAACTTTTGATGGTTGCATAAAAAGAGCATTGTCAAGTGTTTTAACTCTCTCATTCAGTTTTGACCCACTTATTTAGTAACCCATAAAAAGGGCAACACACTTTGTGTAGTTTCAACCTCCGTTTGCATTTGTTTATCTGTTTTAGTTCAAGTTGGTGCATATATTATGTTTGTTTCTATCACAAATCTATAATGCTATAGCTAGTAGGCCTAGGAAGGTATCTCATCTATGAAGCTAGTTTTGGAAAATTTTAACCATGGTTTCCATTCTCTCTATGAATAATTTTAAGGAGTAACTACATTTTGGGAGATTTACGTCCATGTCTTAGTAGGTAGATTTATTGCCCGATATAGGTCATGTGATAATTAATGGCGTTTTTATTTTTTAAAAAAGTGTCACTAATTGTTAGTTTTTAGCAACAATTTGAAAATTTTATCACAAAAGTCGCTAATTGGTAGTTTTTAGAAAATAGATTTAGAAAATCGTCACATAAAATGTCATTAATTGTCAGTTTTTAGCAATAGACTTAAAAAATCATCACCAAAAAGTCACTAATCATGAGTTTTTAGTGACAATGTTAATAGGATCAATTTTCAACGATGAATTGATAGGACTTAATGAGAATTATGTCGAATTACTAGGATTTGTTGGTAATTTACCTTTATATTTTAGTGGGCCTTGGGAAAGCAAAGTACATTTTAGTGGGGAATTCATCTCGATTGCAATATGGGTGGGAAGAAAGAAAAAAAGAATGATGGAATTTATCCCTTGAATTGACCAACCTATCCTTCCTTTCTGTTCTTTCCTCTCTATGCTCTCCCATTTCAACTTTGGTTGGCACTTCCTGCTAGCCACCACTGCCATGTCCTCCCTTGTTACCTCCAAGCCTTCTCCTACCCATCCTCGCTACCCTAGTCCTTTCCATCATTTCCCATCATCCCTACCACTGTTACACCTCATTGCCCCATTGTTGCTTCTGTCAGTCTTAACTCCTTCCCTTTTCACCTAAGCCTTCACCATCACAACTACCCTTTCCTATAAACCCTAACCATTGCAGCTACTTGAACCTCTTAGCCTTTCTCCATCGCGACCTCACACCTCTACCCTTTATTGTTGGGAAACATGTTCGGTGAGTGTTACTTATGCTAAGATGTACAGGGTAAATTTATGTGCGGTTGTCACTCTTGTCACTTGCATCACACATAATTAAAACTTGCCCCCAGATGTTTCATAACAGTAGATGTAATAGTAAGAAAATATAATATGATTGTATAAAGTAAAAATTGAATGCTTAAAAAGGATTTGTACAATTGATCAAATTTATCCCAAAGTTTAGTTTGGTTTGATTTTATTTGTTCATATGAGCAATTCGTGCAAATCCTAGATTTTCCATAGATCTTTAACTTTTACAATTCAAAAACTAGTGTATAAACATGTAATTATGGATCAATCTCTGCTAGGCACCTAGAAGGTGCACATGATGCACATTCATTTCAATTGTGACATAATGTGCCTAAAGGTACGATGTAATGTGCTTAAAATTATAACTTAAACATATTGAATCACACTACAAGTTATGACTCCCCAAGTAACTCATTGGGTCATTGGAGTTGTGACAGAATGAGATCATATCATATTTTGAGAACATTGTGTTATAATTTTGTACACATCTCATCATTATAATTAGAGAGGGTACAAATCGTGCACAATCTTTTGGGTTGCACATCATAGATTTTTCCTAAATGACAAGTTCTTTATATGAACTAGTGGTGGGTGTCATGTCGTGTTAGGTTGTATTTATGTTGTTTCATTTTGGGTTTGTCTCCGAAATATTTCAACACTAACTTAACCCGTTTATTATTTCGTATTTTTTAGTCATGTCATTTTTGGTATTTGTCCAGTTCATGTCATATTAATGTGTTGTATCAATTTTTTTTTTTTTTGCCTTAATTAGTTAAAAAGACTCAATGTAGAGACCAATTATTGGATGAAATTATTCATAAAAATATTTTCTCTCAATTCAATTTTATTTTTGCTTAATTTACAAAATTACATCCTATTATAATATATTTTTATTAGATTAAAATAGTAGGAAAAAATTATCTTCAATTAAGAAAAAAAAAATATTAGCCTTAAAATTTCAATTTCACATACTTTTTATTCAATTAGATGGAGTTATATAAGTAATTCAAAAATGTCATGGTACCTTTTAGTAGAAATAATATTAAAATATGTAAATAATTATTTATTAAACAAGTTATCTATATCAATTTCGTGTTATACAAGTTTAACTAACTTAACCTGTTTAATACTCATATTATTGGAGTGTGCCATATTTGTGTTTGTGTCGAAAAATGGATAAGTTAACTTGTTTAACTCTTAGGTAGCTATTATGGGATGCCTGAGTCAATTTTGTGGTCTATAGATTATATGAAATAGACACAACTAACATGTCTACTACTGTTGTGTTCCACAGGAGTTCTCTTATAGATGTTAAATTTGTGTGTTAAGTGCTTATTAATTTAGAGAGTAAATTGGTGCTCTCATGGATGTGCTAAAGTGTGTGTTAGAATGTGTGTTATGTGAGGGTAGAGTCAAATTGAATGAGTTAAATATATAGAGTATCAGTTGATAAAATTTCAAAAAATTCAACTAGAAGGACAAAGAGAGAAGGTAGATTATACCATTAATCCCTATAGTTTAAGCGAATTAATTTTCACTTTAGTCCCCGTAGTCTTAATTTGAACATTTGAATCCCATACTTTCATTTTTTGTTGCAATATTGTCCGCTTGTCATGAGCCTTTTATTTTTTGGATGGAAAAACAACTCGTGCATAACTAAAGAGAGTAAAGTGGAATTCAAAAGAAACAATAGAGACCATGGGTATAGTTTATTCAATTTCTTTTCTTGTGTTGAAATTGCTAAAAATCTCATGTGTGTTGCATGTGGTAGTTTTGCGTATAAAATTTCAACGGTATGTGATAGAAGGATTATACTGTAACAAAATTTTAAAAATATAAAGTTCAAATTGAAACTATGAGGACCAAATCAAAACTTTGCTTATACTAGATAGACCAACGACTTACTTTAAAAAAAAAGTTAATCAGTGACTTGGCCAGCCAAAGGGCTATCACAATTAACGAAACTACACAGCGGCTGGTAATGTTAAAGAGGAAGATAACATGTCCATTCGGACATAAAAAATAGAAAGATTTGGTAACTATATTAACTTATGACACTAACTACCTTCTTAGCACTTTCTAAGTTCCAAAATGTGAACATTTAGGAAAGGGAAAAGAAAAAAGACAAGAAAAATGAAAATGAATACAACTTAGATATGCATTTCATAAGTCAAATTGAAAACATAGTTGATGAGTAATTACAGAAGAAACTAAGAAGCATAAAAGGTTATCAGTGAAGAGAGATGCAAAACAAAAACAACAAATCAATTATTGATCAACAAAAGAAATCATCAAGAAGTGTGCTACTTCAAAGATCACAATACGGGCATAATCTGATCATTTTGATAATATATTTTCTCCTCACTCCAAATGCGTTCCACGACAATTTAACGGTTGAGTAATACAAGACTTAAGTTGTTTTGTACGAAGTTTGAGTGGCCTTGTGATAAAAAAAGGTTAAAGTTGCAATTTTTCCTGTTTGCATTAGAAACTAACTTTCATTTATATTCTTATACATTACACACACACACATATAACAATATATTATATTAGTGAGTCAGAGTATATAGGATAAGATTGTTGCATCTTTATGAAACAGAAAAATTATACATGTTTCTTCAATATGTTGTTGTCCATTGGAGATTACAAACCAATACTTGCTTTGGCAAAAGAAGACACAGTGACGGAATTGCGCTATAGCTTTTCCTTGCATTGCAGCCTTCAAATTCTCCAATTTATTAGAATACACAACATATTTACTACAAACAATTTATAATTGACTTTGTATGAGCTATCTTCTTCCAAACCTTCTTTGATCTCTTCCCATGTTGACGCATTTTGGACCAAAAATCCGTACGAGCCATTCTTCTTTCCTTCGAATAATGTAACTTCCAATCAACAAACCAAGCAATGCTCCACACCCATATCCCATCAACACAGCTTCCCAACCAAAGCCATCAAATTTGAACTTAAAATTGTGGCTAATTGAGGATGGTAAATTCAAAATCTAGAAATCCTTTAGATGTTGATTTGTGATTATGTATAAATTTTAAGCAATAAAACAATCCCAATCAAACAATCAAGGCAAATCGACACAACGATTTTAACGTGAAAAAACCACAATTGGAGCACCTCCAATTGTGATAAAAAAAAACTACGGGCAACAGCCACAAAACAATCCACTAAGAAGATATAAAGGAATTACACAGGTATACTCTCAATTACCTAGCGAATCCATGCCCGAAATGAACCAACCCCTATGTGCCTCTTCCAACCCCGTCTTCACCTCAGAATTATTTTGACGATGAGCCACTCCAGAATCCACCAAAGCTTCAGGCTTGAATTCTTCAGAATCCATCGAAGAACAACTCTCTCTTTTGTGTAGAACAAACAAATAATCCTTTGATGTATACTCTTTAAACCATGAGTTGAATACTCAATGAAACATCAAAGAAAACTAGCAAAATAGCCCCATATATAAACCCTAGAACCCAAGAAGGAGATTTGGAGGCGTAATCCTAGATTTGGAGCAACATGCGAATTTATAGAATCTGAAATCGCGAGGTCCGCTCGAGCGTGGGAATGGACGCTCGAACGGGGAAATGGATGCTCCAGCATGAAAACACGGATCACAGTATATTTGTAGACTCACCAAACTTCTGGAACTCAGCATTCTCCGCTCGAGCGGGGGAATGTCCGCTTGAGCGGACAAGCAACTTTGAATGCACTTTTGCATTTTGCTTCGGGGGCGCTGCCCCTCGACCCTGCGAGCTGACCGAGCAGCTCGACCCCCGTCATAATCAGCGAAGTGGCAATCTTGAAAGCATTAATATCACAAACTTCTCTGCAAGGCACAATTCGGGTCGGATTCGCATCTAAAACTCATATCCTCACTAAAATACAAGAGCGAATAAAACTACAACTGAAATGAGTTTTGTCAAACGGGATTGCCAAGAATAAAAACCTAACAGTAAAGTTAGTGATTCTGCTATCTGGACATTCCCACAATTCTTTGACAATGGAAACCCGCACAAGCCTAGATTTCCCGCATATGAAGTGTTTAAAAATGTTTCAAATTGCCCACCTCGTGGTATAAGTCCCGCTAAATTGTTTTGTGAGAAATTAAGAACTTTAAGGAATGTCAATTTAGTCAATTGCTGAGGAATCTCTCCAGAGAGTTTGTTTTGGGATAGATCCAAGGACTCAAGCTGAGTTAGATCCCCCAAGGACACTGGAATGAGACCTGTGAGCGCATTACTTGAAAAATTTAGGACACAGAGGGCTTTAAGTCTTCCAATGGATATTGGAATATTTCCATGAAACTTGTTGTGTGAGAAATCAACAGCTTTGAGTGGATTCCGGTTGTTGTTTTGAACTTGTTTCTGTCCTTCAATTCTTTAAATTTGAGTTATAGAATGTTTTGGACTTGTTCGTTCCAGGTTGGGTGTGATTGGGAGCAGGTGGTTACTGCCCAAGTTTTTAGTCCTTCGCTCGAACGAGCTGTTTGTCGCTCGAGCGAGCGTGGAGTTTTGTGTCTAGTGATTTCCAGTCCTTTATTCATTATGGTTACTGAATAATAACCAAAATCATAGCCCATATAATTTAAGACGGATTTGTCTTTATCATCTATCATCATTGAATGCATGCTCTCAAAGTATTTTGATGGCAAAGTACCTATAAAGTCATTGTGAGAAATGTCAACGATATGTAAATTGGTGAAGGCTAATCTCTTTCCTGGTTGCTCTATGGGACCATGGAATTTATTATCTTGCAACACAATAACCTTCAATTTGGGCAGCTTCTCCAACCAAAATGGAAAAGTATCTTCTATCAAATTATGACCCAGATTCAAAATTTCTAGGTTCGTGCAATTCGTCAATGATCTTGGAAGCACCCCTTGCAATCCATTGTGGCTAATGTCAAGGTCCTCTAACATGCTTGCGTATCCAAATGTTTGAGGGATGCTACCATGGAAATTGTTTCTTTGCAAATTTAAAAATCTTAATCCAGTGAGGTTTGCGAAACAGGTAGGAATTAATCCAGCAAATTGGTTATTGGACAGATCGAGATATCTAGGATCAAGATTGCAAAGTGGATTGAGTTCATTTAGGCGGTTGTTTGAAAGGTCTAGCACGTCTAAAGCTTCCTTTTGGGTTTTTAAAAATTCAGGAATTTTACTTATGTTGCAAGACGACAATCGTAATATCTCAATATATCGGAAAGATGAGGGAGTGGAGTTGGTGGTGGTCAATGATAGACCACTGTTTGAAAGATCCAAATATTCCAAATATTCAAGCTTTGCAGACATGTCCAGCTCAACAGTGCCGCTTAAATTATTTGACGAAAGATCAAGACGGTTAAGGTTCACAAGATGAAACAAGGAAGATGGTGGAATTGGGCCTGTTAGTTGATTGTTTGAGAAATTTATGTAACTAAGTTGCGAGAAGATGGAAAAAGGTGGAATTGGGCCTTCAAAATTGTTGTGTGAAAGATCTAAAGAATAAAGATTCTTAGGAAATCTCGGAATCGTTCCAGAGAAATTGCAGTCATGGAGGTCTAGCTCCTCCAAGCACTCAAGTTGGCCGATGGAATTAGGTAGCTCTCCGGCGAAGCCTGTTTCATAGAGATACAACAGCCTAAGGTGCCGGAGAGTTCCATTGATAAAACTTGGAATTTTATTTGTGAGTTTTCTGTTACTGGCTAACGACAGCTCCTGCAATTTCTGTAAGTGGAAAATGCTATTGGAGAAGTTATTCCCTTGCCAGACTTCTTCTTTTGATGATTGTATTGGGCCAGAAAGATGGGAGTCTTGGACCTTAAGAACGGTCAAATTTGTGAAACGGCCAAATGAAGGTAAAATTTTAGAGTGATTGAAGTTGTTCCAAGAAAGGTCGAGGTGTTGAAGGTGAACAAGATTGAAGAGGCTGCTGTTTGGATGGATGGTACCATATAGGCACTCACAACCGAGATCGAGCTCAATGACATGAGCAGTGGTGTAATCACATGTGACCCCATCCCATGCACAACAATCTGTACCCTCTTTCCAATTATTATTCCGTGGATAGCAACCATCAGAAACATTAGAGCAATCGACGGAAAAGAGTTGCTTAAATTGGAGCAAAGCAGTGCTCTAGTCATTATGGCAAAGATGTGCAGAAGAAGAAGACAAGCAGAAAATTAGGGAATACAGGATATATATTGTGAGTTGATAATTGGATAGTAAGAAACCCATTCTTACACCAGTATTGGGTGGGGTGGTAGAGAGGGAATTGGATATGATGCTTCTTCTACATGCACTCTCCTTTTTATAACTTAATAATAATTCAATAATAAAAAAATATATAAATTGAAAATTGTCATTGTATAATCTCACATATTATCATTGCATTAGTTTAATAGATTCCATCACTAGCTCAATTTTGTTACTAATATAAAGATAATATATAAGATGATAAATTACTTTTAGTAAATAAATGTAATTAGTATTCAGCATAGCATTATTCAATTTGGTCTCAGTAGTTTATACGATGTGTCAATTTGGTCCCTATTATTTAGTTTGCTCGATTTTGAAAGGGACCAACTTAACACATCATGTAAACTACATGGACCAAATTGACATATCACTTGATTTTCTGTCCATCAAACCTAACAATCCTTATTTATTGGACTAATATGGTACAATCTGTTAAATTAAAGGACAAAATCGAACAAATTAAAATAATAAGGACCAAATTAACACATCTTAAAAACTACAGTGATCATTTGTATAATTTACCCTCAGAAAACTAAACGAAATGTTTGCAAAGTCAGAGTCTTTAGTGACCTTATTTACAAATCTTTTTTCCGTATAGCTCCATGCAAATTAGATGCGGTTTTGCAGATGAAATCCCATTATGTGGGGAAAAAAAAAAAGAAGGATGACTAAGTCATAAAAATTTGAATTTACTTGGAAGCTTCACAAATTAGAATTTTTGTGAAATGAGTCTTTCAATATTTAAAAATATACCCTACATGTCTTTGATTTTGTCACTAGCTTTAATAAAAGCTAGCATAGATACTCTTTTCCATAATATTTATGATTGGAAACTTAACGATAATAAAATTATGCGTATGAAATTCTTTTATCTTGTTATGCTCACCGCAAACTCCCCTTTCCGCAATATTACTGTTTCGCTTGTTGAGGTCATAACTTTATTGCAAAATTTGTTGCATACATGTGAATATATGTTGTTAAACTTTTTTACATAATTAAATTTCAATTTATTAGTCTAGTTTGTCATAATATTGATATTTGTACAACAATAATATATATTTTAAATTTTTATTTACAAAAATCAAGGTGTTACCCAATTCTTATTAATGTAAATCTAATTTTATGAGAGTTAAAATTCTAGCCATAATTTTTGAGCACTTATAATTTTTAGTGCAAATTATTTCTTACCCATTGGAAAAAAAATTTAAAAAATAAAATAAAATAAGAGTTGATTATTCACTTTGAATTATGTAATAAATATTTGATTTGATAGTAGCAAGTTATAGAAGATGACTTACAAGTATTCAGTGTTACTGTTTTAAGTCTTTATCTTGACTCTGTGAAGATGACTTACAAGTCTTCAGTGATATTGTTTTAAGTCTTAAAGCGAGTATTAAGTTATCTTGACGTGGTCTTCACGACTTGAAAAATATGGGACAAATCTTCGGTAATCTCAACTTTCAACTATTTAATAATTATAAAATTTGACTAAATTATACTTTACACCAAAAAATATTACTCAATTCTTATTTTGTAGGTCAAAGTAAAAAAATATGATATTTTAAATAGGGTGAAACACCAATAAATTCTAAATAGTAATTTGATTAATTGTTTAGTCCTTTCTTTTTTTTCTTATAGATCTAAAGGTCTCATTCGCTCATGTGCTATGTGTTAATGGACAAATGTGAGTTTTCACATAATATTGAAATTACTAAACGTAACAGTTAAAAAAAAAAAAATCTTTAATATACTTTTTCCAAACGTAACACTCCAATATAACACTCAAAAAATATAACATTCCAATGTAATACACTAAAAAACTCCTTAGTGTACTTTTCTCAAATGTAACAACGTAACATTCTAAAAAAACTCCTTAGTGTACTTTTTTCAGATGTAACACTTCAATCAATGTAACACATAAAAGCTTCTTAGTGTACTTTTTCCAAACGTAATATTCTAATGTAATACACTAAAAAACTTCTTAGTTTACTTTTTTCAAATGTAACAACGTAACATTCTAAAAAAACTCCTTAGTGTACTTTTTTCAGATGTAACACTTCAATCAATGTAACACATAAAAGCTTCTTAGTGTACTTTTTCCAAACGTAATATTCTAATGTAATACACTAAAAAACTTCTTAGTTTACTTTTTTCAAATGTAACAACGTAACATTCTAAAAAAACTCCTTAGTGTACTTTTTTCAGATGTAACACTTCAATCAATGTAACACATAAAAGCTTCTTAGTGTACTTTTTCCAAACGTAATATTCTAATGTAATACACTAAAAAACTTCTTAGGACTCACAGAAACCCAAGGATCCAATCAACATCCTAGAAACTAAATCCCATACCCAAGTAGTCACATAAACATGTTATCAAATAAACACGTATTGTCACACATAAGTCTCTAACAAGCGAGACAAACCCATTGTGATACTAATCACATCCCACGTACCCAAAGTATTCGAACCCGGTACGCTCTGATACCAAGTTGTAACGCCCTCAAAATAATAACATTAAAACCCAACAATTTAGACATGCATTGGTATAAAAGATAAACATTCTTCTATTCATCGGAGTAGTTCTTTACAAAAGTATTACATGTTAACAACAAAAGCAAATGCCCTATGGGCTTACAGCTTTCCAAGTTAACACTTGGTTACAAAAAGAAGAGTGCTAACTCAATACATATTAAGCCCTTGGCTTGAATTTACATGTAATACATCAAAAGAAAACAAATAATAAAGCAGCTTGTCTGCCTCTAGCCTCCCAAGCTATGTCCTTGGAGATGGCATGCTACCTGTACCTGAAAATGATGTCCCATAAAGGGTGAGCCACAGCCCAGTAGAAATACACCAAACCAGTCATGAACAATGACTAAAAGATTAGCAGTTGATAGATGGTCAACACAGATACATCCACATATATCACATTTCGATTTCATGACATTAAGTCCATGTTACATTTCATTTCCCATGTCGTTTCCAACTTTGAGTTTGAAAACAAGGCTCAACACCTAGCCAAATAACTTAATGAGATTTAGACTCATCTTTAAAACACTTTCAAAATTCATGAGGGATACACATTTTAATGTTGTATCAATAACACATAAACCATTCCCACACTTTGCGAAAGATACACATTTCGGTGCTGTATCAACATAACATAGAATCACTTCTATACTTTACAATTGATAATGGTATACATTTTAGTGCTATATCAAATCAATTCAAACACTTCCATAACCAACACTTGATACACATTGTAGTGCTGTATCAATGTCACACAAAATCCGGTTTAGAGGTCCATCCCTTATCTTCCCCTAAACCGTGGAGTACATCCCCCATTTCCTCCCACACAACACATGTATATAAACATAGATCATATACAATCAATCAATACATAGAATTAATGTATTAATCCAGTTGCTATATTCAATAGCATACTCAATCGATTAGTTTTAGTTTGCCTAATCATCATGCAGTGTCTACAACAATCAAGACTATCCTCCACCGATAGCCCAAAGTAGTTATTTCTATACTGAAAATAAATGCACCAAATGGATATATAATCAACATTTCAACTAGGTGAGGAATGAACGAATCAAACTACACCCTTTAATCCCATACACATCCAATTCCAACATTCTCAATTTACTTCCTCTTTTCTTCAAATTAATTATACAAATTAATTTATCAATGTAATTAGAGCATTTCCCATAATTAACATCACAACCCTAAGGTTCCATTTTCACCAATAATCCAATATTGATTTCATTTATCTATGCCAAGCATGCATATAAGTTTATATAAACAAAACCCCAACTTTTGTAAAATTACACAAAGGCCCAAACTTTCTCAAAATTACCCAACAACCCCCAACTCATCAAAATACTAAAATTCAAAGACAAAACTCATGAGAAGGAGTAGGATATCCCTACCTCGAAGTTAGAGCTCAAACGGGGAAGTTGAAGAAAACCAAAATGCTCCAAACTCAAAGATCCACAAATCAAAATGGAGCCCTCGACGATCCACACACTTTTTACAAAGGCCGGAGGATAGTGAGACACTCTAACTAGATCAAACCCTAGAGAGAAGGGAGTTTCTAGAGAGAAGAGCTCTCAAAATATCTTTTTAGAAAGTAAGAGAGAGAGAGAGAATGTAAAAAGTGATTTTAAAATGCCCAGCTGCCAACTGATATACGACATTCTCACTCGAGCGGAGAACACAACACTCGAGCGTCAAGAACAAAAAACTAGGTACGCTCGAGCGCAAGAAGGCCCGCTCGAGCGCCAAGACACAAGAATAAAGTACATCCGATCGAGCGCGAAAACCAATCCGCTCGAGCGTAGATCTCCCCCTCCTAGAACTTACACCAAAAAGGTACTATCTGCTCGAGCGCCAGAGTACCCGCTCGAGCGCGACCGCTCGAGCGTAAAAATCACACCTGCAGAAGTTTGGCAAGGACACGAAAAACTGGGAGTGTGCAATCTCCGCTCGAGCGCAACAAGGCCCGCTCGAGCGAAACGACCAAAAACCTGGCAACAAGATTTTAGACCAAGGTTCAACCCACCTGTTCGAAACATGGCCAACACATCCTAAAACTCAAACAATGGAATTAAAGGACGACAACAAGATAGATACAACTACCAACTCCACGGAACAGAGTCCGGAATACAACAGAACAGTAAAGGGACAACTGGGATCGCTATAACCTCCCCCCCTTAAAGAATTTCGTCCCCGAAATTAAATACAAGTTTTTTTTTTTTTCAAAAACAAGATTTTCTCAATTCCCAACATTATCACAACATAATGTTAAACAATTCGACCCGTTACTGGTCAATCCCATCTCTTTTCAAGAGGCAGTTTACAACATT